TCCTGGCTCCTAGTAGTAAGGCCAGGAGCCCCTAGTAGCGTCCTGGCGCCTAGTAGTAAGGCCAGGAGCCCCTAGTAGCGTCCTTGCTCCTAAGTATTGGTGCCAAGTCCCACACCACGCTACACCGGACGTGTTGCACATCGAAAACCATCGTCATTCATTTGACTTGTCGCGTGCAGTTCACACACACCCGGCTTCACTCGGAACAGCTCTGAACAGCCCTGGTCGCTTGATTCGAGAGTTCAGCCCCCTCTACATGTAGAGGTCCAGCATCTGTTTCCACCTTCTAGGAGCTCCCAGTAGAAGCTACCGGGGCTAAACATGATCTGGGATTCAGCAAAGCCACATCTGAATGGACAACATCCATGGCAGCACATAGGAGCCAACAGCAAGCGGAGCTGAAGCCAGCGGTATCACAGCTTTGAGTGCCATTGCCAGCGCTGGCAATGCTGACCAAAGGAAAAAGGGATAAGATGCCATCACGGTGACTGGGCTGGAAGACAAAACCTCGTGTCCCAAAAGGTGTTTGCATGCGCCGGGGGCTAAAAAAGGAAGAAAAGTCAAGAAAAACAGCCATTCCACACTCACTTGATTTGACTTGGGCAATCCCCGAGAGCACAAGAACAGAGGTCGCATGACTTGAAACGGTCGACGGGCACACAAATGATCAAACATAGAAAAACGTGCTGGTGGCGAGCTGAAGGAGGCTAAGCTAAGGATGGAAGCCAACGCGATGGATCCTCTCTCCACCTCTTCCACCCTCAAAAATTGAAAACATCCTCAGCCAGCGGGCAAGGGACTCGATGGAAGGCCGTGGATCTACCAGTTGTTTGATTGAAAGGAAGCTATCAAAATACGAACGAAGGTAAGGTAATGGGACATGGTCCGAATGCCCTCCTTTCCAAGCATCTAATTACAGCACCCAGCTGCAGCACAGGAGCAAAAAGCAGCCGAAAATCAATGAACATCAATTAAATGACATCCGCTCTTCAAGGTATGTTTCCCACATATCACTAACATCACTGGTCCAGTCTCTGTCACTGTGGCCGAGCATCCCAGAAATCCAATCACTGTGGGCGGCACGAAAAGCAAGGCTCCCAGCTCCGGGTGCCCAGCTGCCACCATAGCCGCTGGGGTGGAAGCCACCAGGATCCCAGAGAGTAGGGCCAAAGTAGTAGAAGCCAAAGCACAAAGAAGAAGTTTCCTTGCCAAAGCAACGGGGAAAGCGTGAAAAAGCAAAGGGGTACAACATGGCATGAACATTCATCAACACAGCTAGCGCACAGCCGTGGCCAGTTCAAACAGGGTCCAAGACATGCAAATCAGTTCCTGGTTTCAACACATCCAGTTCTGCTCTAGACACAGTTGGAGCTGTTGCGATGGAATCTTGGCGCAAACACCAGTATCCGGACAGTAGAGAGAAACCCCTGCAGCCGGCTGCAACTGCACTGTGCGCCCCTACGATGACTGAAACCCATCCCTACCAAACAGCAATGGCCCACTGGCTGTCACAGTCCCTTCAAGTCCGACGGGCGTCGCCGCAGCCAGCAACACCCGCCAACCGCCAAACCAGAGCAGGCCAGAGACCGCCACCTTGTGTAGAGGTGATTCTGATCGAAGGACACAAACAGGACGCGAAAAGTCCACGAACATCATAAAGTCAACTGATCCAAACGAGCCAAATGCTCAAATGATCTTCATCATGTATACATGTAAATCTTATAGATACTCTTATAGATATTCGATATATAAGTATATTATTCTTGTATAATAGTAGGTTGGAGGCCATCGCTAGTAGGTTGGATTATATGCTCTTCAAATGTCTTCCACCAATCGAGTCCGCGGCACCGAGCCGACCGCCACGTGAAGCTGCTGCGCTTTGGCGGCGGCGTACTCGACGAAGAAGAGGCCCCCGACATCGAAGAACACCGCGGCATCGGCCACCTCCGCACCATGGGGACGGCCTGCGGCTCAGACTACAGATGTGGTTCACTATGCGAACGGATTTCTAGAAGTAGAAGTAAGTAGAATCTTAGAATATAGATGAAAAAGTATAATGAAGCAACAAAAAACTGCCTCATCCCTATTATATATTTGTGTTTGGCACCACTTATTGCTTGGTGCTTCATCAACTCTTTGGAATTGGTGATGCATTCCACCGCTGGATCATCCAATCCAGCACATCAAATACCCAACAGAATCACATCAAACAAGAGCCAAACCAGCAGGAGGATAACATAGGATAACACTTTAGGCCTTTAGGATGACAGGGAGCTGGTTTGGCCTTCCTTCAACTTCTTGGCCAAGCCCGTGGCGAACTCGAAGACGGTCTCCCCATAGCGCTGCACCGAGCGGAAGTCCAAATGGCCCAAGTCATCCCTCGGAAACGGAAAAGATTGGTGTTTGCTGCGTTTTGGACGATCGACTCTGAAGTACGACACCACCTCATCAAAACCAAAAATAACAAACCTAGTTGTTCATTCCCAAGCTAAGGAAATCCGTCTTGTTCCGGACAGCAGAAGACAACACCTGAAAGCTTTCTTTTCCCTGCCGTGGTCCGCCTCCAGGTGTGATAGACCCAGCCGTTGGTGAGCACTGCGAAATCCGCGCCCGGGATATCCCCGAAGTCACGATAGATGCGGAAATCCGTCTCCCCCGGTATGAGGCCCGTGTGAAACAAGGCCTCCAGGGGACCGGGCTAACAAAGCTAAGATCACTCCTCAGCAGAACCAGACTGCCACCAGTCAGTGAAGGGGGCTGCCAGAAAGCATGTGAAACCATCATGATGGGCAAAGCACAAGACAGAAGCAGAGGTAAAGAAGTGGAGGCCAATGTCCAATTCAAAAGCTATAACGTAACGAGCAACCTGTCAAATGCACAGGCCACCTGTTCAGCCAACAATCAAACCAGGTGAGGTGGGAGTGGATGGCAGTCAACAAAATGCTGCAAGGTGTGCAAACACATGATGTCATGTCATGTCATGTCAATGTGATATCAGGATGGGCGGGCACAGCATGTACGGGTATGATCTCAAGCAGCTACGTGTGACCAGCACATGCAGAAGACAACCAGGGGCATGTTGTGCGTTCACTTTGGAGTCAGCGTGGCTGCAACTACAGCCAATCCCGACTCTATATAGCACTCTCCTGAAAGATGGAATATTGTTTTGCGAATGACAAAGAGATGGAATAATCGCAAACACCCTGAGGGCAATAAAGAGATGGAATAAGCAAGAAACAACCAATCAATAGATGGAATAATCAAGACCGACATGCTGCCGACTGCCGCAATCTTTTTTCCCTTACTGTTACCCCAATGATCAATGGTCGGTCAATCTTGACCCTGTGCAATGTGATGGGATTGTGGAGGCAAATCAACAAAAAACACAACAAACAAACCACGAACATATTCTATCTCTTGCTGAGTGCAGTGCTTTGAATCTCAAATTGCTCAAATTGCTACAAAATCAGGTTGCCCCCTCATATAAGCTTGACGTGCATACTTCTGCATTATGTATGTACATATACATCATATACATAGAATATATGTATACTGTATATATATATGTGTGTGTGTGTGCAACCAAATATTCTATCCCTTAACCCACCTCTGGGACGGTAACAAGATGGAATATTTGTCAATCGAATTTAACGATATCTTTCGGAAGTTCGCTATAATTACAACTTGATCCAGCAAAAAGTGGACTCCAGAAGCAACCGCGACACCACAGTCTCTCAAGTGAACCCCGTCGAAGTGCCTGCGTGATGGATGACCCATAAGGTCGCGACACGTGACTCTTGTAGGCTTCAGCGATCCTCAGCAAGCCAATCACGAAGCAACAAACTGTAACTTACATCAGCGAAAGCTCCGTCTTCCAAACCCTTTAGGGTCTCAAAATGCTCTTGACAATTCAAAACCCTCACCAGGACTTCTCTATAGAAGAGTACCCAGCCGGCAGCGTGCCATACATGCAAAATCTCCACCAAGTCTGGACCAGGAACAAAAAATTAACCAACCACAGAAACACCTTGACTCGCACCCCACCCAGGCCTCGCCCCCCACCCACCCAACCGTGACTCGCGCGTTCCGCAACGCCGACCGTGACTCCACCGGTTCGACGGCCCAGCTTGAAAGAGCAGTTCTCGACCTCCGGAGCCTGAGGAGAAGCTATTCAAAACAAGTGCCATGCTAGTAGTAACAGGTGCCTTACTAGTAGTAACAAGAAGCTATTCGAAACAAGTGCCACGCTAGTAGTAACAGGTGCCTTACTAGTAGTAACAAGAAGCACTAGTAGTAACAAGAAGCTATTCGAAACAAGTGCCACGCTAGTAGTAACAGGTGCCTTACTAGTAGTAACAAGAAGCTATTCGAAACAAGTGCCATGCTAGTAGTAACAGGTGCCTTACTAGTAGTAACAAGAAGCTATCCGAAACAAGTGCCACGCTAGTAGTAACAGGTGCCTTACTAGTAGTAACAAGAAGCTATTCGAAACAAGTGCCACGCTAGTAGTAACAGGTGCCTTACTAGTAGTAACAAGAAGCTATTCGAAACAAGTGCCACGCTAGTAGTAACAGGTGCCTTACTAGTAGTAACAGTCCCGATCCAACGGTCCGAACGACGGGACGGTCGTCTTAGCAATTGGGATCCATCGGACGTTGGATCCTCCAGGTGTGGAGATGTGTGGTTGAGGAGGATCCAATATGACCCAATGGGTCCCAAACCTGAGGAAGATCATGGAACATCTGCAGATGACTTCGGCGACACAGGCTTGTTCTATCACTGCTTTTCCGAGGTTTTTGTGGAATTCTTCTTGGGAGCCTTGGGCCGTCTCAAGAGAAGTTTGGAACCCTATGATCAGCAGCTTCGGTCCAAATATGTCCCAATGGTCTCACTTGCGAAAGCACTTGGGGACTTGAGGGCGAGCTGTTCTTTAGCCTCATTCACTTTGATCAATCCATGTCATGCACCCTCCAAAAAAGGGCAAACAGAAGAATAGGCTGCCGAAATCGGCTTCCAGACTCCATCGGTTCCAGCAGCCTGCAACGCCCTGCAACGCTGCGCGACGCCCTGGGCCTGCGGCTTCCAAGTTGATTTGGGCACCTGAATCGCTAAAGAGATGGGGGGTCCTTCTCCGAGCAAAGAGCGAGAACAAGTGGTGGCAAAATAGGAAAGGATGACCACCAAAATTTCAAGAATTCTGCATATTGTTCTAAGCTGAACAATACAGTGACTATAATTGCATGGCCATAATACTATTTCTTAGTGTGGCGGCGAATGTTTCCACTGCTTCTAAACGAGTCTCCTTCCATCAAGCCAAGGCACAAATCGATGAGGCCCAAGGGTGGCTGGTCACAAATCCTAGGTCAGTGGAAATAGGGGAATCCAGTGCGTCAAATCCTTATATTGTCGACCATATGCAAAAACATTGCCATGCAATGCAGCTATGCCAGAATCTCAATAATCAATGTTGTATACTGTTGAGTGCTGCTTGTGTTAACACCTGTTTGAAACTGTGTGGTGATTGATAGGAAGCAATGTGCCACGTAAGAAAACATAGCCCTTATGAGTTGTTTGCCTGTTTGTTTGCTCTTTGGCAGATTGCTTGGAGTTGGGATGCCAGCACCCTGCTCTTCGAAAACAACAAACTTGAGGGTGTGCAATTGAAATCCCGAGTTGCCCTCTCAGGTGCACGGGACTGCTGTCAATATTTTCCACCCCGTACAAGCAGGAAGCCCAGGCTCCATGTGCGGCAGGCATCAGCACTTCCTCGGCGCATCGAACGCGACGCCATGACCCCGAAGGCGATGCCACTCCTGAAAGCTACATGCTAGCCATGCTAGTAGCTGGAAGCTACTAGCAGTAATGCCACAAGCTACTAGTAGCGTCCTTGCTACTAGTAGTGATGCACCTTGCTACTAGTAGTAATGCTCTTCTGAGGCTTCTTTGGGCAACTCAGTTGCCTGAGATGAAGACTGGATTCACAAGAAGCTCCGAAAGGCACTTGTTCACTGTCCTCCAGGATCGGTTTTGAGATCCGTCTTATGCCCTGGTGGTCCACCAACCCAGACATACTCAAACAGGTGACGCACCAGGATTTGAGGACAAACCGGTCAATCCCACCGTGTGTCCCACGATATGTTCCCCGCGGAGTCTCTTCACCACCATTGAAGTTGAAAATCACATCGATTGGAAAAGGGCTGCGCAAAATGAGTCGAAGTAGCTCCGTCATGATCGCCATCTCTGCCTCCGGCCGTTTGGAGCTTCCGATGAGCAAAAAGGAAGCTCCTTGAACAACCCCCCAGCTGGAAGGCTCTTGACATGTCACCTGTATTCATCTGTGATCAGTGATGTTCGACTGTGTCACATGGTGACGAACCATGGTGATGCAGCTCCATTATCACTGGCACCTGCTGAATGGAACCACACGGTGATCACACATTGAGACCGATGTCGCTGCCTTTTTCAATCCTTTTCTGTGGAACCTGGCCACGGCGCACAGCGCAGGTGGCACAACTTGTAGACGTGAGGTGCGTTGGTGAAAGAGCCAGGACACTCAAAGACTGCTTGCTGCCCCTCCAGCAGCGGGAGGATCACCTCACTGAGTGCCTCCAACTGCTAAAGTGGCTTGAAAACAAGTTGAGACTTTTCGTAAGACTACTTCCGCAGGGTTAGGACATGCACCGGTTGAAATGCTCTTTAAACCGGTCACATGATGTCACATGACCAAACACATCAAGCCCATTCTTCTTAACATCTAGTCCAACCCTGCAGACTCACCTGGCTTGGCTTTTCTAGGCAAAAGTCGCCCATAGCTGGAAGAAGCTCTTCTCCATCCACTCCTCATCCTCCTCGCCATCAAAATGGCCGGAACCAAGACGTTCGAATTTCTGCGGGCTGCTCTCGCTGCTCTCGCTGGGCGGGAGCAGAAACTGTTTGGCCTCCTTGAGAAGGTCGCTAGAGAGTCCTGTGCCCACCTGAAGGCAGCGAGGAAAGAGGTACCTATAACGAAGAAATCCTCACAAGATCTCACAAGGCTTGGAGTCGCCAACACTGGACATACTCCTCGGCACCCTTTGTCCACAGCACCCAATGAGATGCTAATATACATAATTATAGATGTATTTGGCCTCTCGGAAGCGTCTTGGGCAGCATGGATGCTAGAACTGATGCTAGATAATACTATATAGTCCTCCTGTACGCTGTCTGTTCAGAAATATACTTGCTCCCATCTGAATGACCCACCACCTGACCCAGCCCCAGTCAGCTGCCGACCCAACCTGAAGAACGAGACCACTGTTGGTGACCACCTCATCGTAGCAATGCAAGATTTTGCACGAAGCATCGATGCCCAAAGCATCCAGGGGCTCCAACAGGTAGTCTTCGGCCTGCAGAGCTCCAAGAGGGTCATGGTGAGGCCCATGGGAACCCTCACAACGACATACCAGTAGTACTTACTAGTACCAAACCACCTGAAGTTGAATGCACGAATCCAAAGAAGAATAAGAATAGAAAAACAACACGCAGCCCTCCGAACAACAAACAAACAAAATCAAACAACCCTGAAACACAGGCAAGAACATGTATAAAAAGAAGGCACGTCATTTCTACAAACCCAGGGTCTGAGCCAGTGTCTGAGAACTCACCACATGTGCGAAATCGCTTGCGCCCGGCACCTCATCCAAGCAGCAAAGGCGATGACTTCCGCAAACGAATGGATCGACCTGCCACGGCAAACGGTAGCCAACTCAGATGTTAAAAAACGGTCCGTCTTCGTCAGATTCTATCAATCAGTCATGTTCACTCAAGATGCCTATTTTTGGACCGCTTCTACAGTACACGACATGTCTCTACGCTCCACCCTTATATAGTTATCCTGCAACGCACCGGCAACATTTGCCAGCACAATGGTTCCGTAAAAACATGGCTGCAGCTGCGTTTGAATTCAGGCCGTAAACAGGGGTCAAGAACGCTGATGGTTAAAGCTTACTTTCTCCCCCTTGTAATCCAATCCCGGTCTAAGTCTGGCTTGATTTCCGCTCGGCAGCACATATTCTCTCATTAATATGTCCTTAGCTGGTGCCTTTGACAAGGGCGACAGGAAGAAATCGTCCACGACGATAATCTTGAGCTCCGCTGCAACTCGGGACTCCTGTCCAAACTCCTGTAAGTAGCTCCTGGAATCAGGTCCAGCTAATTGTATAGGAAAAAACAAAAAACACTACACTGAACAACTTTCAAGTCACTGTCTCATCTGATGAATCTCATTGGGTGCATGCACTTCTCAGCGCACAGAAATCCCTAATTATGCCCTAATTTGATTTGGATTCCCACTATCCTCTGGGATTTCCGAACATGTTTCATGACTTGGGTGGTAAGAGTCCTGATTACTTGGACACGGTCACCGGCATGTAGCTCCGGTGCGAGTTGGGTGAAGGCATCAAATGAAAAAGACCGGCCTAAGGAAGCTCCTTAGAGTAGCGGGGCGGGATTCAACTCTCTTGTAGGAGCCAATGAGTGCACGCTGTAGTCTCTGCAGTCTCTGGAATGCACTTCTGGCAGGCAATCGTGGGGAAATCAACTCTAGGATGTTCAACATCCATCTTTGCAACCAAATATTGGACCTCCGAGGGGCTTAAATCCAAAGATTTCCCTGTCTCAACTGCCAAGATCAATGAATTGAGGATGCAAAATGCCTCACACCAGTGGGTACCAATCCTATAACGGAGAATCAAGATACAAGTGTGGCATGGGATTGTCCTAGTTTCAAGCTGTTCCCTGCTCGGCGAGCTAGCTTAAAGCATCTTAAAGCTACCTACGGCAATGTGAGGGGATTTCTCCGATTACTCCAAGCCCACCAGTCATTTCAACCGAGTCACCCAAATCTTCTTCCAGCTTGTGACGGCGTTTTGTGTGCTGCCGCTTGCGCCAACTGGAGGACAGCACCACATGACCTGTGATGTCATCATGGTCCATAGGTTCCAATCAAATGCGGTGGGAGATCACAGCGATTTCCTTTCCCACTCTCAGTCGCAGGACAACACCAGGTGCTACAGGACAGGCCCAACTTAACATACCTAGATCTTCAGCTCCGACGTTTTTCTGGATTTGGCCAGCAGTCTTTCCAAGTGACTTTATGTGGATTCTCAAGGCCATGCATTCTTTGTGGTCTGCATTTCTTTGAAGGTAAATCCACTACTGACGAATGATTTTGTTTGCAAAGTGTGCTCGTTTGCCTGTTCCGCTGTTTTCTCATTCCACCGGTTTCAGCAGTGGTTCACACTGGCTCAATCTGAATTCGGTACAGTGCTACGCACGTGTTGGAAGACACAAGTGGGTGCACCTAAACTGAAAGCACATAGGCGAAAATGTATTCCCATTGTTTCAGGATGTTTCAGGAGGTCGGGGCGCTGGGATGTAGTTCTAGCTGCGCAGGATTGCAGAGCCTGCTGGACAAGTTTTGGGTTGTGGAACGTGTGCTGTTCAGAATCTCAGTGTTACGCAAAGAGAGAGTTGCCACAAAAACTAGACGGCGAGTGGCCCGAAAGCATTTTTCATCACGTAGGAAGTCAGAGTGCGAGTTACCTGTTAAGTGTGCAGTGTGAAGTGCTAAGTCGAGTGAGTTGAGGTAGCGTGTGGGTTTCTGTGTGTGTATCTATGTCCGTGTGTATATGAGTCTGCGTATGTGTGTGTGCTCGTGTAAGTTGAGGCAGTGCGTGGGTGTCTGTGTGTGATGCGGCCTCCCAAGTCCCCCACCGGCGGCCAAGCGGTGACAGCCCAGCTCATCGTCATGAGCATTTGAGCTGCTGGTAAGGGGAGAAGCAGCGTGCACGGCGAGGCAGGTACGCAACAAGTGTGTCAAAGCAGTGACCTGTCAGAGGAGATGAACGAAGTAGCGCGCAGGCCTCCCAAACCCCCACCGCCGGCCAAGCGGTGACAGCCCAGCTCATCGTCATGAGCATGTGAGCTGCTGGTAAGGGGAGAAGCAGCGTGCACGGCTGCAGGGAATCTCACTGAAAAAAGCGAGCTGGAATGAACACAGAAAATGCTGAGGCAGCCACGCCAGAAGTGTCTCGAAGCAGTGACCTGTCAGAGGAGACGCGTCCATCGATATATATCTTCCGGGCAAAAATGTTTGCTTCACTCCAGGACACAGCTTTTCTAGGATGTAGTTAACCAACCAATATGCTTGTCATTGACTAATTGACAGTCTCAAAGAAAAACGCGACAAAGTAGCGTGAGGCGACACACAGCAGGCACTGTAGATGATTTAGCGTACTCTCGGTGTTCACCTCGCGACTAGTCTTTGTACACAGAAAAGGTAGTGTTGTGCTTCCGCAGAACGACGTCCACACAGGATTTGTCAGGAAGAAGTCACGGTATGAGACATGCAGTTGGTTATCATGTGAACACCATATTATTTTTTCATCTCCATTCAGGGTATTTGCCTGGTCTGGGTCTAGCGAGTCTAGCGCGTCGACCCGAAGCAGATCTGGATGGTGTAGGCATCTGCGAAGTCGTTGTTCCTCACCCAGTCTTGCCATCCACTGGGCCACCTGATCACTCGCCAAAACTGCCAGCTGAGCAGAGAGGTTCTCTCTTAGAGTTTCACTCCACAAAGCTATTTTGGCTAAAGCTAGCCTTGAGCCAACATGTAACCACTTAACTTGTGCAAAGACCATGTCCTGAATGATTAGCCTACGCCAAGCCTGCCCTAAGCACTATAGGCACCTACATTCAGTCTATGGCTTGCACTACGCTCCCTTGTACTACCACTCCCCAGATACTTCCAGCTCCCCGGGTACTCCGCGTACTAAAGTTGTACTACCAAGTCATTGTACTACCAAGTCACCAGTTCTCATCTTCCCACTCCCCAGATACTCCGCGTACTAAAGTTGCACTACCAAGTCGCCAGTTCTCATCTTCCAGTTCCCCAGCTACAAAATCACCAGTTCTCATCTTCCAACTCGCCAGACACTCCGCGTACTCAAGTTGTACTACCAAGTCGCCAGTTCTCATCTTCCCACTCCCCAGCTACTCCGCGTACTAAAGTTGTACTACCAAGTCGCCAGTTCTCATCTTCCAGCTCCCCAGCTACTCCGCGTACTAAAGTTGCACTACAAAGTCGCCAGTTCTCAGCTTCCAGCTCCACAGATTGCTCCGCGTACTAAAGTTGTACTAGAAACTCGCAAGTTCTCAGCTTCCAGCTCCACAGCTACTCCGCGTACTAAAGTTGCACTACAAAGTCGCCAGTTCTCAGCTTCCAGCTCCCCAGCTACTCCGCGTACTAACGTTGTACTACCAAGTCGCCAGTTCTCATCTTCCAGCTCCCCAGCTACTCCGCGTACTAAAGTTGTACTACAAAGTCGCCAGTTCACAGCTTCCAGCTCCACAGATTGCTCCGCGTACTAAAGTTGTACTAGAAACTCGCCAGTTCTCAGCTTCCAGCAACACAGCTACTCCGCGTACTAAAGTTGTACTACAAAGTCGCCAGTTCTCAGCTTCCAGCTCCACAGATTGCTCCGCATACTAAAGTTGTACTACAAAGTCGCCAGTTCTCAGCTTCCAGCTCCACAGATTGCTCCGCGTACTAAATTTGTACTAGAAACTCGCCAGTTCTCAGCTTCCAGCTCCCCAGCTACTCCGCGTACTAACGTTGTACTACCCAGTCGCCAGTTCTCATCTTCCAGCTCCCCGGCTACTCCGCGTACTAAAGTTATACTACAAAGTACACCTCTCGCCTGCACTTCGCGCACTCGACACGCACGATCTCCGCAGAAGGTTGCGCGCGCAGCCGGCAAATCGCACTCTCGCCTGCATTTCGCGCACTCGATACGCACGATCCGCAGAGGGTTGCGCGCGCACCGCACCAATCGCACTCTCGCCTGCATTTCGCGCACTCGACACGCACGATCTCCGCAGAGGGTTGCACTTTCGGTTGACGCTGTTCGTCCCACCCTCCGCCTTAAAGAGAGAATTTATAAAGTGGGGAAATGTTTTTTCATTAGGACATCTCCCGTGGTAGTTTTCCATACTCACACTTGCCTACTCATTGCATGCTTGTTGCATGCTTGCATACTCATCACTTGCATACTTACACTTGCATACTTCCACTTGCATACTTTGCCACTTGCACTTGGCTGCTTTCGCTCTTCCACTTACACTGGGGCACGTATAGCGTTCATGTTGTCGTGCAAGTGTGGTGAAAGTGTCAGTGTGTAAGTGTAAGTGTCGAAGTGTCAGTGTTCAAAGGATTTTCCGGAAGAACCCTTCGCAATGCTTTCGGGAAAAAGAGGCGCGCCTAACTCCGGCGCAATTTCCCCTAACTCTGGCGTAATGTTCCGGACTCAGTCTTTTGAAGGATTTAAAACTTGAATAGTGTTTTAAAGAAGTGTTTTGACTGGAACAGTGAGTTTTGCTAGAATTATTGGGTGGTTGAGGTCCTGAGGCAAGCTGAAATATCCTGGAGAGCAACCCACTTTGTCAAAGAACTTTGGAGGCACGGTCGCAAAGAAAGAGGGGTTCCTTGCCGCATACTCCTTGGTTTGTTCTTGGAAGCCTTTGCTTGGGCACAAGTTTGCTTATATATTTTGTGGCAATGGGAACGGGAAGGCTCCAGTGTTGGGTTGTGGAATGAGTGTGTTCCAGGAAAACTACTCGTGATGCAAAGGCAGTTTGCTTGTGTATGATCCAACATTTCATCATCTCTGTTTTTCAGAATCTTGGATCCTGAGTCTTTTTTCAGATCCTCAGTGTTTTGTGAAATCCGGCGGCAAATTTTGCCGGATTGAGGTACGGCACTGTTTTCAGCCCAAAGGAGGATCCAGGTATTGGTGCCACCATACATGGCCAACCACACCCCGTGTAGCAGCTGGCATCAACTTCAGCAAAAAAGAAAGAAACAAGAACATACAATACTTTGTGAAGTCTTAAATCCTCACACTTCCAGACTCACAACAGTTGACCGAACAAAAAATCAATCGTCACAGAAAGTTCGACACCTCTGCTTAGCACGACCCGTTGTGCTTGTCACGCCACATCCCGAGCCAGCGCTCTCGATGAGCTCGGCGAGACGTCCGACGAGGACCTTCGACAGCTGGTCCTGGTGACCGAAGTTGGAAGCTGCTCCTCTAAAAGCCTATACCAGAACCAACTCTCGGTGAGAACCACAATGAACCAACCAAACTCGGAATCAAAATGAATCAAGCAATCGATCTGTATATACTAAACTAGCCAGTCGGAACCCAGAGTCGTTGCTCTAGTTGAAACCCAAGTGGGAGGACCCGACATGAATGACCGGTGGATGTCCGTGGGACTAGTCACAGTCACATACTAAACTCGGCGACGAGAACTACTGAAGAGGGGGGGATGAGAAATATCTAATAAACTATGATAATGGTGGTGTTGGCCTTGTTTAGTGTGAACATTCAGGTGAATCTGGGGCCCCGTGGGGCCCTGGATTTGTTCCACAAGTTGTGACCCCCTTCGGAAGTGCTACTCTTCCGTTGGATTGAAACCGTTGGTTCCAGCCCTCCTCGGACAGGAGGCCGGGACCCGGACAGGTGGTACTTTGTGGGGAGACGAACGTCGTGGAAGGTCTGTGCCAAGCTACTTGACTGGCCAAGGCTTCGAAGGTAGTACATGCTTCGCGATCTGCAGGGGTAGCTGCGAGTGCGCAAATCTTGTAGGCTGTCGCGGAGTCGAAGCCTCTATAGTCCATGGCCACCTGAGGCGCCAAAGCGTGACTTCCAATCCATCCTGTCCAGTGGAGAAGAACGCCAGGTTGCTAGCATATTCCTCAACAACTTGGGCTACTGTTCACCCACAAAGCTGCTACATTCGCTATGACTCGACTTTATGACACCCTCCTGCAGTTTCCTGGCTCTACAGCATGATAAGTCTGGCGCTGGGTTATACTGAATACTATATATGTATGAATATATATATATATGTGAATATTGATATATATATATATTAATGAAAGATCTCAGCCCATGACCATCCAGCCACAAAATGTAGCCCACCTTTTTTCAGGAACATTGCCCCCGAAACCAAGGAAGCTTTGCTCAAGGGGTGTCTTGCTTGTCGCCCCGACAAAAGTAGGAGAATGGCCCCAACAGCCCCACAAGAGACGAAAAGAACATACGACATTACAACAAGAAATACATAGCACAAGAAAGAATAGGTAGGAATGGCCTATGAATGGCCTCCAACCTAAGAGCGATGGCCTCCAACCTAGTAGCAATGGCCTCCAACCAAAGAGCGATTGCCTCCAACCTGGTACAATGAAAAACACGGTCTTTCAAGAAGACCTTCTGCAAAGCCGGCTCACGATGTCCCTTGCCAAGGACAGCTCGCTACACTTCAGCAGGATCGGCACATCACAGCGGTCCTGAAAGCTTCTTGGGGGGGAGCGGAAGTGTGACATGTCTGGCAGACCTTTTTGGTTAATTATGGTCATGCAAATTCATATGCCACCAGCACCCTTGTACCAAACCTGCGAGGTGAACCACCCAATTGCGCAAGTACGCATCCCGGGGTGATCCGAAACATGCCGTACCAACAGTGTGGTGAATCCACTCTAAGTACACACTGAGACAGCCTTTTCAATCGCACAGGGCACCTTGGAGATCCTTGGAGTAGGTGAGCAGCTGAAACCCATAATTCGAAAATCTCTTGTAGCGTATCGGCATATCAATGCATATCAATATACCAAATGCACCTATCCTTTGTGACAGTGCAATTCTGCGGGCTCCGTGCTTCATAATGCCAACATAGGATTAGGCAACCCCCCCTATTAGTCTACCCAGCGTTCAGGCCCCAATAATAAACTAATTTGAACTACTAATTTCCACAGTCACCACCCTCTAATAAAAAATTTTCTTGGCTGAAACCCCCCCTATTAGTCCGCCCCCTGTCCCCCCAGGAAATCTCATCATTCCATCCCATCTCATCTCCTCCTCCTGTCATCATCAGGTCATCCCCACTATTAGGGGGATGTGATCTCCAAAACCTCCAATCTCAGACCTTGTTGACCTTCTAGGGGGCGGGGGGGGCCGTTGATTAATCCGACGATGGCATTACACAGAATCCTGCGTCGAAACAGATGCTGAAGACTCAAGGTCAGTATTGTACATCACGGGATGGCGCGCTTTTGCCTCAAGAAGTCCATGCAAAAGGCAAAGTCCATGCCCATTCCTGGCCCCCGGTGTGCAGAATGTGCACTGGTTGTGGCGTCTCCGAGTCTCCAACGATTCCATCGCCAAGGATCGTAAATGCCGACGTTCAGGACACCGTCCACATCCACAAAAAGGATCCTCAGCAGCAACAAGCGAGGGCATCCCACGGTTGCATCGCCAAGGATTGCCAAGCGGTGCTTTTCTTGGCTTGACGTGGAATGCGGGTCTCGTTGCTTCATACGCCTCACACTGCCTCTTATACTGCCTATGGTTGAAGGCCTCACTGAGATGTTGGGGATGAGTGCCTTTTGATTGTCCACCCTCCGCCCTGTCGCTGAGGTGTAGTGCGTTTATCCCGAGTTCCCATCAAATCCAATCTCAGATTGTACAAATACTCAGGTGGGCGGGGACACCGAAAGAAAATGGATGTGGACATGCTGACAATCCATTAGAATCCTTCGCATCTGAGGCTCGTGTCCACGAGCTGCTCCGGTGTCGCCTCTGAAACTGGCGCCATGCCGGCGCTGGCCGCGCAGGCGCGTGGGGCCCGCGCCCTAACGGCTGACCCCCTGCAGCTGGAGCCAAAAATGCAATGAGGAGCAAAAGTGCAGCAAAACAGGCTTCCGGATAACAAGAAGACCGCATACCATTGAGCTCTCAATAAGCTGTTCCATGGACAGGGGTTGTCATCTTCAGCCAGATACAATATTATACAATGCAACTTGAATTGCTTCAGATCAACCATGGTGCTACAATGTGTGTGTTAATGCATGTTAAAGCCTTCTGCTTTGGCACCCATCTGAGAGCATCAGAATATGTAGCTATCATTAGTTACAGTATCTACCTAGTACCCTAGGCTGCCTTGGCGTTGCAAAAGGATTTGTATGGATTCGTCTTCAAGAACTTTTCAACCTTATGAAGTAGTCTCCACGTATACCAGTGTACATGACTCCGGCACCTGCCCATGTTTGCATATTTTCACGGACACCTCCAGACTCTCAGCATCTAAACCTGTGGCCCCTTCCGAAGCCGAAGCTTACAAATCTAAGTCGCATTAGCATCTGAGGCAGCTGGAGATCCCAGAGCTGAGTCAAAGTGGGATGATATCAGCAATGTACACCTGAGCTGTCTTAATCGCTCAATCAGGTTAAAGAACTTCCTGGATGGAGCCTCCTTGCTGTACGACAGTGGGTTCTTCAGGGTTCATTGGTGACATGTGACCAGGAGGTGCAACATTTATCAACATTTTGGAGAGAACGGGGATGCATAAAAAACAACCGAAAGATTCGGAGGCAGCATGTACGAGATCAACTGCGCATATAAATGCACATACTTTCAGAGTGAATGAGTGAGTTGACTGGGAAAGGGCAACCCCGCAATTTTGCTGAAAAATATTCCTCCCTTGGAAACTGGAATTGGCGCAATACCAGTGTACCACAGCGCTGAGCTTCAATTGACTGACTGAACAAGAACGATCATCCAGATTCTTGTCATGACTCAAGTGGCACGATTGACCTTCTCCTGCAGGTATATATATAACTCAGGCCCCACAACCCGGAGAAACATCTAGACGCACGTCGGCAATCGCCAACCATCGAACCACACTGGAAGGCCCCATGGGGAAGCATTTCAAAGACAAGGCAGTGGATTCCAAAGCCTACAAGTTGAAGCTCCAAGAAGAAATGAACCAGAATGAACCAAACCCACCGTTTTCGAGGTTGAAGTGGGTCTGCTTTGAGTTGCACACATAGCCGGTACTATAGCCGGTGCATCCTTCATCTAGGCACGAGTCCTTGGAAGGCGATGTACCAGGCACCTTCACCAGTAGGTTCGTCAAATTCCTCGTCGCGGGACCAAGGCGATCGGGTTAGGTGGGCAGGTTACAAGTTAGAAGTGGCCAAAACTAACAACCAGTCAAGTGCAGTTCAAGTATACAGTATACAGTGTATATACTTACCATATCCGCTACGAGCAACACTCGTTTAACAGTACCACCCAACTTGCTTCAGTTTTTAGGCAACAATCCGTTTCGCCTGCTAGTCTCGCTGCTTCCTGGCATGCATGCACCTTCCATGCCCCCCAGTCTCATCGATGGCAGGTCATGCCTGCCCGTCCGTTAGAAAACATGTGGTCATATGTCGTCTTGACTACCTGGTTCAATAATCAATACTGTGGTGCCAAGAACTGGGAATGTCGCTTATATAAAATTGTTTGGGCTCATGGGAAAACACCCATCTCCGCACAAAGTGGAGTCTATACCTTAGCTGAATGAACAGGCCAGATGCCGGTAGACAATGGTAAGGCCGCCAATGAAATCCTTGGATTGAAGCTATGCTGATCGATGGAGCTACTTTGGCAAGAAGACTAATTGGCTGTCCTAATTGCTATGTCATGCTATGTCCAACATGGTCTTGCCAGGAGAACCTGCAAAAGGAGAATGGTTTGCCAGGCTCTTTTTGCATCGAGTCATTTGTATGCCCAAGGGCTTGGGACAATCAACATTCCCAAAAAGGTGGATCAATCTTGACCAAGTGTCCAAATAGTAATGCCCTGAGGCTGCCTGCTGGTCAATGGACACCCCGGATCCATAAGCCTCCTCGGACAAAGTGCGGCTGATCCTCAGTGAGTGGTGGATCCTCAACCGGCGTGAGTGTTGTGGCGGTGGGGCTCACCTCGCCGTGCACCATCAGACATCATCAATATATCATGGAACGACCGTGACTTTGGGGATTCAAGATGATTCAAGGGTTCATGCAGTGAAAGTGCAATGTTCTCTGCCCGCCACTCAAGCAGAGAATTCTGCACAGACTTGGCTGTAAAGAAGACGCAGAATGGTCAGTTGGTAAGGTATATGCGGTTATATGCGCAGGTATATCTGGGAGAGGATGCCCGTCCATGTATGAGACAAGAATTGGATTCAGAATCCTTGGTGGTAGTGGAACTCTTTTTGCCGCCCTTTTTCCGACCTGGGCCAGCCGCAATAGCTCGGCCTTTTTGCCACGGTGTTCCCCAAAACAGGGCGGACATTCCACGAAGCCATGCCCCTCTCTTACAGGTGCTTCCATGGTAGTGACCTTCAGGGGGCTCATCCCAGAAATCAAGCACTCTACTCTCACAACCATCGAACCTAACTAATTCATTGATTTACATTATAGTCGTTTCTTGGTGACAATAAGTTTTCAGGGCACCTGTCTGACACCTTCATTCTGACACCTTCGCAGCCTTTGTGGTTGATTTTGGGGCTGCAAGGCTCTCCTTCCGCAGCGCTTCCACCGCACAAAGCTCGTTGCCTTTGAAGCCCACCTGGGTGTCCCGTGTCCCGTGAGCAAGCCAACCAACCAGGCAAGCAACTAGGGAAGCCCAAGGTAGACCCAACACCCCTTGGAAGCGCGCATGAGGTGATTGAAATTCTTTCCGCAGGAGGATGTTCCAATGTTTTGTAGGTCCAGTGCGATTTGATGTGCCACAGACCTGTGAGGTCCATCACCCCACTAAACCCATCCCTGCGATGGTGCACACGAAGACGAGGGTGCAGGGTGCGGCCATTACGGATATCGGATATCGATGCATTCTGCTTTATATATATATATGATTAACCAGTGGCGGAATCTTGATTTCACGCCTACATCCTGCATGTTCCCCCCACACACATGTTGAATCAGAAGTCATTCACCTGAGTGTGATGCACCTTTCCAAAGGTGAGCAGCGCAGCTTTCCAAAGCTGAAAACCAGCAGAATCTGGCGAAACCATCGGTGCTGAAGCTCGGGCGGCCCTCATCGATTGTCATGAGGCTCGGTCAGCAGAAACAATGCACCGATGAACGGTGAATCCCTTCCAACCTGCTCCCACTCCTGCTCCCGGCTCTAGCAAAGCAAGGTGGAGCAACCTGACCCACGGGCTTTGACAGCCACCTGAGGGTTTCACCCGGGGAATCCTTAAAACATCTTTAAACCGACCAAAACCTCCAAACTGCCAAGCCAAGCCGCATATTTGGCGCCACATGCCACCAGATCCACCAAGATGGGTCGGGCCCTCTCGGCGCTGAAGCCGGTGGCAGACACCGGCTGCACCTCCGGGACCTGGAAGCTAAGAAGCTAAGCGCTGTCACCAGGGGATCGACCGGTTGACCTATCTGGTGTTGGTCATGCGCTACGCACAACCAGAGCATGGCCCATCCCCCACCTGAGTCGCCCAATTCTGGCTCCCTCTACTCAGATTCTTCAGAAATCTACTTGGTGGGATGGACACCCAAGCACCTGAGCCTTGGATCCTGTGCTTCCATCCGTTCTCCGCGAGCGTCACAATGCTCGAGACATGTTCGGATTCCATGGCAAAGTCGAAGGCATTTCTGCAAAACAACTACAGTATATAGTCATCACCCCCGGACGATGGTAAAACACATGCGATGGATATCTGGGTGGTCGGTGGTACTGTCGGTGGTGAAATAGAGTCAGTGGCGTGTGTGATGATCAGCACATGACCAGCACATTGACATGTCCAACAAAAGTGCTCATGTGGACATCGCTAGGGCTTCGCTGCGCGTGTCCCCAGTCATTCTGTCTTCAACATGGTATCCAACCCAAGAGGGTTTGAACTTCACTGCCAAGTGCTGTCGAGTTGCTGCCCACTGCTCTTGCAGAACAAACGCTACAACACCAGTGAAGGCCAGCAATGCAAGCCAGCCGTGGTGTTGGCTGGACTTTGTGAAGGCGGACATGACACAGGCTGCTAGAATTGGAAACACGGTCAGTTACTCGCCTCCACGTCTCCAGGTCTGAAAAAAAGATTGGCAGGAACTGGTGGTTCTTGTAGTGCATTCTGTGACTTCAACTAGGTACCAGCAACCGTCCTGCTCATCAACGCATGTTTAGTCAACGAAGGTGTCGAACAAAACCCGCGCTCATAGGCAGCGTGTCTGAATTCAAAGGATTGGGATCATATTTTGAGAACGGAGCTGTTCAATCTTATAGCTGACCACATGAGAGCTCTAAGCCAAAAAGGAGCCCATACTGGTGAGCAACAAATGCAGTACGAAGGTTATCAGCTGTCATTCCCGCTCCGAATAGCCTGACTGGATCCTTCGACTCCGCGTCGGATTGTGCTGTGTGGATAAGGGAATGTATATACCTGCATCTTCATTGGGCAAAAATTTTTGTGCACTTGATTTTGGAGGAGATTTCCGTGTACTCTACAGAAATCTGTGCACTTGAACACAAAATTGAGCATTTCTGTGAGCATGGTCCTGTCTTGAAACACACAAGAAGGCCCATGCTTGTCATTTGCGCCGGAGCCTGCGCTTCCAGCTCAACTTCCGAATCTCCCATTCCATTTTGATATGGATCCGGTCTAGCACTCTGTGGCTTGCAGTTCTTGAACACACTCTCTGACATATCCTGCTAACATGTCCCACCACAGATTCACAAGGTTCGTAACTGTAGGGTAGTGGAGAGGGAAAGATGTGTGTTGGGTGGGAAAGACGTGTATAGGACGGGAAAAACCGTGTATTGGACGGGTAA